AGGCCTGGCTCTGCTCTCACTTCCACACTCCACGGACGTGGCTGCCAGTTATGGCAGGCTGTCTCTACCCGCCCAGGATGGCAATCGCACAAACCCAGGGCCTTGCCCACGGCCAGGACCATGTTTGTGCTCACCAGAGGCACCTGGGGATGCTCATCACCTGGCCCAGGCCACACACAGGGCAAGGGCCCACCTTTCTCACCACCCATGCTTACACGGAGCACAGGACCCCAGCTGGAATATTCCTGATGTGTGGGGTTGGCGGCTGTACAAAATCATTTGCATCTCCAATTGATTCAGCAACATTAAGGGTAAGAGACATCGGTGGGCTCCTGGAATTAAAGCTACTTTTTCAAAAGAACCAATTCCGCTTATATTGTTCCATACTTCTGATTATTTTTAATTTTCCTTCCCCGCTCCCAGCATGCCTTTACGCCTTTGCTGTGTAATCAGTAAACAGTCACGAGTGTGAATGTGACCTTCTTATGACCCAGAAGAAACTCGCACAGTAAGGTCTGTTTTGTGCAGTTTTCTTGGCATGAAGCATCTAGTATCTTTCTTGGCAAAACTGTAATTTTTCATTTTATGGTGTCTAGTTTTTTGTTTTCTTTTCCCCCCTAAAAATAAGATTCTCTTTGTGGCAAGTCTTTATTCTGAACAGTTCTGTCATCAATTGTGAAAAGTTTGTGTAAGCGCAAACACCCTGGGGTCCCAGGTAATGATGTGGTTTCCCTGAATGAGGATGAAGTCTATGAACCAGATTATTATTGATGAATAATGGCTGGGGGGGGGGGGGGGAGGACGGTGGTTTATTCCAGTGACATCACGGGCCCCAGGTCAGCACTGAGAAGAGAGCCAGGCCTGGCAGCCCCCACATGGGGCCCCCCCAGAGCGGGGACATTAACACTCTCCCAGGAGCCCATTAAGTAATGCGGCACTCCCTCCTCACTTCCCCAGTGAGATCATGCCCTCACAACTGCTTTGCAGAACCTGTGACCCGGAGCCCGCCGAGTGAGGGAGGCATCGCTGGGAGCTCCTTTCGTAACTGATCCGCCGTTAGGTAACCCCTCAGGGATCTCCAAGCGGAGCCTCTGCATTTCACGATGAACCGGGCACAATCCTCCCAGATGATGGGGAGTGGACTGGCCCAGGAAGCCCGTGCTGGCACACGCAGGGCCCTTCGAGCTGTGCACGTGTTCCGGGTTTGGGAGGAATACAGAGCAGCGTGAGAAATGCCGGGGGGGCCCCCAGCTGTCACTTGGGGTGCTTTCCAGTTCCCCAGGAAAGAAGGGCCTGTTCTATTTCCTAACCAGCTTTGGATGCTGAAGACAGGATTTGAATTCAGGCCTCCAAATACTCTGTCAGGGTTATAAAGCATTGCTCCTCACGTTGTGGCGACCCCAACCATAAAATTATTTTCGTTGCCACTTCATAACATAACTTTGCTACTGTTAATGAATCATAATGTAAATATGTTTTCCGATGATCTTAGGCCATCAGCAAACTGCGACTCTTTGGCCCCTTGAGTGTGGCTCTTCCACAAAATACCACGGCCTAGGCGAATCTATTTTGAAGAAGTGGCGTTAGAAGAAGTTGGTTAAAAAATTTGCTCTCAAAAGAAATTTCAATCGTTGTACTGTTGGTATTTGGCTCTGTGGACTAATAAGTTTGCCGACCACTGTCTTGGGCGACCCTGCTAGCGACCGACAGGGTGAAAACCCCTTCTGTAGAGCCTAAGTCCATCGGAAAGCACAGATATTTACATTATGATTCATTAACAGTAGCAACATTACAGTTATGAAGGAGCAACGAAAATGATGTTACGGTTAGGGGTCACCACAATGTGAGGAGCTGTATTAAAGGGTCACAGCCTTTGGAAGGTTGATTACCACTGCCGTCAAAGCGTCCATTGCCCATCAGAGAGCTGGCCAGGGTTTGACAACGGCCGGATGCTGAGCTGCAGCTGGCAGAAAAGAGTCATCTCCCAGCTCCTCACGGTGTGTCCCCGGCTCAGACTGTCACCCTCCAACGGCTGCCACCTCCTCTCCGGCTCAAAACAAGCTCCTCGGAGGGTTCCCGAGCCAAGTCTCCATTTACGTAACCGGAGGAGGTGGGAGCCGCTAACGGGGTTTTGACTCAGGGTCCAATTCCCAGCAGCAAGCTGTGCCAAGAAAACGCCCCGCATCCCTGGGTCTGTTTCACTCTTGGTGCTAAATTAGGCTTCTGTAATTTAAGCATTCCCATTAAAATGTCACATCCAACGACACCGAAGATGAAAAGGTAGAGACACTCGAGACGAAATGCAGAGAAATGATAGCACAGTCCCTCCCAGCACCTTCGCTTGGAATCAAACGGGCTCTTCTCATGTCCGTGTCTGCTAACGGGCTGCGACAGAAACATCCTGAGCTCAGGCGCCTGACAGGGAAATGGCATGGAGGACGCCTGCCCCAACACCTAGGAAACAACACGAACTGGGCCACACTGGCAACTCTCTTCTTATTTCAGGGGTCAGGCTTTCCGAAGCAAGGGGAAGGTGCCACCGAGGGGCACTGCCCTCCCTTCTAGGCAAACAGGACCACAAAACAGCTGCTAGTGGGAAGGCCAATAAGGCAAAGAGAGGACTAGGCCCCCGGAGATTGCTAACTCTGAGATAGAGTTTCCTTGTATTAACTAGCTGAGAACAGACGTGATGATAACAGTTTCATCCCACCTTCCCATCCCAAGAGGGTGTGAACGAAAGGAGCCACGTGCTAACCTGACAAGCTCAGGGGAGGCCTGCAAACTCAGAGACCTGAAATCACAAAAGATGGTTTGAAAATTAAATATTTAAACTACAAACAGGTTATAGTGGGTAGTTATGTCCTAGGCTGATATTTTCCCTGACAAAGATGAACTTCGATCTTCTTTACTGAGCCCATTTGCCTTTTTGCCGCTAAGATAACATATCTGTGAGATGTCTGGGTAACTTGTAACTTCCCTTTTTCTGGAGCCCCTGGGGCACAATCAAATGTTGTGGGCCTCAGGACTGATGCCTCATATTCCTTCGTTATCATGTTAATTGTTCCTGCACTCACCTGAGTACACGTCCATCATTTTATTTTTTATCCAATCCCAGGGGTTTCCCACCACTTTGCTTTCTCCCACCTCCTTACTCCATCACCAATGAATTTCATGTAACTCACCTATGTCCCTCCTTTATTTTCAGTGTATAAACAGAAATGTAACCCCGCCATTCTTCGGAGCATTATCTCAACTTATTGAGGTTCTGCTTCCTGGCATATGTCGACAGTTTGGCTCAAATAAACTCACTAAAATTATTTACAGGTTTCAATGTGTGTGTTTCCCGTTAACTAGGGCTCCTTCCTGCTGTGCTTGAACCGTAGCTAGAATAACATGGAAACGTCATGCTTTTCTGCAGGAGTACCTGTGAGAGCTGGTCTGCGGGGTCACCGTGACAGGAAGTGTGCGATCTCCCATCCCTTTGGCACTGGCATAAATCTCTAAATAGGGCCCAGTGAGCAGAGCAGATGGCTGACAGCCCACAGGTGGCCTGTGGGGGACACAAATAACACTCCAGCCAGAGAAGGCCCACCGTTAGCCCTTCCAGTGGGATTTTATTGTACATCCAACTCACCGCAACGGCAATGCAGAGTGAACATTGACCTTGGCACAGACAAGAGAGAAGGGACGCTGGCTTGGAGCCCTTCTCCCAGGTACATCCGATCACATAAGGCTGATTACATGAGTTACAGGTTTCTGCTTTTCTTTGGCAAAGGCCTCAATGATAGCAAGAGGGGCTTTCCCCAGATAGAGATACCCCTGCCCCCAAAGGGGCACCGAAGACGGAACGCGCCTACGGGAAGAGACGTGTGGGTCACCCGCTCAACCAGCTGGTTGAAGCGGATGCAGGCGGGTGTGCTGGGGTCCGAGGGTTCTGCCGATGGAGGCGCGTGGTTTCCAAGCACAGGAGCCGCCAGCAGGTCCCTCCCAGTCCTCGGCATGTCTTGGGTCTTCCTTCCCCCGAGAGCTGGGCAGAAGGGCAGGCATGTGGCCGCTTCCTACTTCTCTGAAGGATCACCATCAGCCTACCTGCGTAGATTTGGGAGAAGGAACCACTAAGCCCATAGACTTCGTTTCTCTCACTGACACGCTGCCTACTGGCTTTTGGATGAGCACAGGAGCTTAGGCCCCGCGAGGTGGCAGAAGCTCCTGGTGCCTGTGTGGTTCGGAGCCAGCCTCCTGCGCCCCCTCCTGGGTTAGGACCCCGGGCAGAGTCACGGTGGAGGTAGCATGTCTTCCACCTCCACGCCAACAATACGATGGAGGCATCGAGTACAAAACGCGGGCTTCCTCCTTCCTCCATCGCGATGGGCCAAGGCCTTCCACCTGCAGAGAGGCTGGCGAGGACCGCGGGGTGCGATCTCCACTCAGGGCCCAGAAAGTCCCGGCAAAGGGCCTGCTGCCGTCTCCCACTCAGAAGGGCGAACGGGACAGTCCTGTCATCAGGCCCCAGGCTGCGTCTCCTGCCATCGCATCCGGAGCCTTCTTGGACCCCCCCCAGGACTGGTGGACGCCCGGTGCAGAACTCCCTTACGTGCAACGGATGAGAAGCTTCTGGAAGCTGGGAAGAGAGACAGACACTGCACTCCCTTCCGCAGAGAAGGGAGCGGAGCGAGGCGCGCTGGGCACGGCTTGCTTTTGTTTCGAGGCACATCAGGACGGTGTGGGATGCCAGTCACAAAGAGTCTGAAGCCCGGTTCACTCTGTTTTGGTTTAGAATGAGGTGGTTTTTATTATCATTTTTTTTTTTCTCGGAAGGAGGGCGCTAAGAAATCAAGAATCAAAATACAGCGAATCTGGAAGGCATCTGGGAGCAAGAAGAGAGATTTAAAGAGGAATGAACATGGGGGAGCAGCCTGGCCTGGCGCCCCCTGCCTGCTGCCCCTGGGACTGAATTCTCTGAGTAGCCAAGTTCAAGGTTGCTGGGGTCCAGGCTTTGCTCATTTCCAGCGGTGCCGGACCAGGGAGGACTCATCGTTGACGGCCTCGGGGTCCTGGAGCACACGCCGACACTGGTACGGGAGGAGCAGCAGGATGATTAAGGTGAGAAGGATGATTCCACACACGCTCAAGAGCGTATAGGAGACGATCCACAAAACGGGCTCGCTCAAAGGCAGAGTGGGGACACAGTTGCTGGCTATGTCGTCTGTTGAGAAGGGCCCAGAAATTTCAGACACCGGGGTCCCTGCGATTTCTGAGGAGACAGAAGGGGCAAAGGCACAGCTATGAGATGAGCAGTCCATCGCTAACATCGGACAAAAGAGACAACCCTGCACTCTATCAAGCCACAGCCTCATGGCACCAGGTCCGGCGGCTCAGGGCTCGGGGTGAGCCCTGGGGGAGTCTCAGTGGCAGCGGGTCCATCCCCCAGGACTGGAATGGCAGCATGTTTCCAGGTTCATGTGGGCACACAGGGAGGCACCAGGCACTCCCCAGAGGGAGGTGAGAGCATTGGTTCGTGCCTGGCAGGCCCAGCTGGGTAGGCTGGTTGGGAGAAAGGAAGAAAGCAGCAGTATCCACAGCCCAAAGCTCAGCTGAACCCGTCTGCATCTTGGGGACCTCAACAGTGGAGTCACCTGGGTCCACACTCTGGAGGTTCCTAATTCTGCAATGTGACAGCTTTACTTTTAGTGTTTAGCGGAATCTCTACACTGTTTTTCCATAAAGGCTGCACCATATGACCCAGCAATCACACTTCCGAGTAGCTCCCCAAAGAAAAGGAAAACACTAATTCGAAAAGACATACGCACCCCTGCGTTCATTCGGCAATTACTTAGGACAGCCATGGCATGGAAGACACCTGGGTGTCCGTTCACAAATGAATTGACCAAGACGTGGTACATGTGTACAGTGGGAGATTACTCAGTCACAAAAAACAAACAAACAAACAAAAACATAATCTTGGCATTCATGACAACACGGGTGGATCCAAAGAGTACTACGTTAAGTGACATCAGTCAGACAGAGAAAGACAAATACTGTAATGGTTTCACTTATATGTGGAATTAAAAAAAAAAAATCCCGGAAAATGAAACAAAACAAAAACCAAACCAAACCAAAAAGCCTCCAAGAAGACTAAAAAAAAAAGATCAAAATGATGCTTGCCAGAGGGGACGAGGGCAGAGGGATGGGTGAAAAAGGTGGCGGGGACATCGTTAGTGAATATCGTGATGTTTGCATGGTGACAGGATCACAAGACGTATTGGGAGGTATATAGATGTCAAATCACTGTGTTGTATACCTAAAGCGAATATAATATTGTGTGTCAACTATAAAGAACAAAGTACTTAAAAGAGTATATTCAACAACTCAAAACCTCTACAATCAGCCTGACCCACACTCCTCATGGAGTCCATGACCATCTGGGTTGGACCGGCCCAGGTGCTCCTTCCACCCCACACTGGTCCTTGTCACACACACAGTGTACGGAACACCCAGAATGGAGAGTGGTACATGAGTGCACCATCGAATTCATGACGAGTGGCGAACAAAGAGAAAGTCGGCTAAAACCAATCTCATGACTTCTGCTGGCCGACACTTATAATAGATGAGGCTCTCACAGGGAGGCAGCTGCAAATGTCTTTTCACCGTAGGTCGTCTGTCTTTTAAAACATTTATTTGCTTTATAAATAGAGATGCTTTAACACATGCAATTAGGAGGGTGGAACATACTCCGTGCAAAAACCAGAGTCCCGGAAGGCATAAAGGACTTAAAAGGACCTGAAATCACTTCTGTTTCGAGACAAAATGGAGTAGGAGGGACCAGATGTACCCTCCCACCTGAACTAACTCAGGAACTAGACAAAGTACGTGGAAAGAAACTACTGGAGATCTTGGAAGTTGGGTGAGGAGCGACGGTAAGTCCTGAGAGGCAGGAGACAGGAAGCGAGGACAGTCGCTCATTTTACTGACGGGGAACGTTTCTGGTTGGTGGCTCAGGGAACAGAGACACTGGCAGAAGCCAGCAGAGCTCCCTGCACTGGGGAGACAGGTAGATGAAACTGGGAGAGTTTGCAGGGAGAGTCAAGGTCAGGGGCAAGCAGGGCCCTGCTGTCTGCTCACTCACTGCGGGGGACTGCCTTCCCCTTGCTGCCATGGCCAACGGCAAGCAGGGCCCTGCTGTCTGCTCGCTTGCTGTGGGGAATGTTTTTTTTGTTTTTTTGTTTTTTTAAAATATATTTTATTGATTTTTTACAGAGAGGAAGAGAAAGGGCTAGAGAGTTAGAAACATCGATGAGAGAGAATCATCAATTAGCTGCCTCTTGCACATCCCCTACTGGGGTTGTGCCTGCAACCAAGGTACATGCCCTTCACAGGAATCAAACCCAGGACCTTTCAGTCTGCAGGCTGACGCTCTATCCACTGAGCCAAACCGATTTCGGCATGTGGGGAATGATGTTCTTGCCCCCGCCCCTGGCTGCTTGCACACCCGCTGGCTCGGACCGCCTGGGTCCCAGGGATGTTTCTGCACCTGTGAGCGTAGCCACTCTTGATTGGCTGGTGGGCATCATAAAGTGACGGTCAATTTGCATCTTTCTCTTTTATTAGTGTAGATACTTGAAATTTGCTAAGAGGTAGATCTTCAATATTCCTACCAACACCACCCCCAAAAAAGAAAGAAAATGGTAACTGTGTGAGGGGATGAATATGTTTGTTAGTTTGATTGTGATGATCATTTTACAATGCATGTATATACCAAAACATTGAGTTGTATATCTTAAGTATATATAACTTTTATTTTTCACTTATACCTCAATAAAGCTGAAAAAAAAATCATCACAGCCAATCTGCCCTATAAAATACACTAAAGAAAGCTTAACTGTACATAGGTAAGAAGGTAACTGATTTAAAGCAAGAACAAGGACAATGTACTGGGTGGGTTAACATACGCATACGTGACCTGCAGGACAGTGACAGCTCAGGGGCAGCGGGGAGAAGTGGAGGTGTACGGTTGTGGGTTCTTCTACTGCATGAAGTGGCAGACTGTGATAAAGGTGTACACTACAAACCCTAAGGCAACCACCAAAGTAACACAACAAAGAGTAACAGCTAGTTAACTAGCTGAGGAAATAAAAAAGGAACAGAAATAATCCAAAAGAAGGCAGGATGAGGGAAAACAGGTGGAAAGAGAACAGATGAGATGGAGAACACAAATAACAACATGGTAGACTTAAACACAACCACACCGCTCATCACACGTGATAGTCTACACCAGGGGTTGGCACACTTTCTCTGCAAGGACCACACAGAAAACATGGTAAGTTTTTTGGGCCAAATGATTTCTATCACATACTCTTTCTGATCCTTTTTACATAAGCCCTTTAAAAATGTAGAAACTATTCTTGGTTCAAAAGCAGGCTACATGCCAGATTTGGCTGGCATGCTGCTGTCTGCCAATCTGTGGTCTAAACACCCCAATGAGAAAGCAGAGGTTGTCAAATGAGATGAAAAGCAATATTTAATATCATGACGATATGCTGCCCGCCAGTAACCCATTTTAAATGTAAATACTCAGCTATATTAAAAGATAAAGGATGGAAAAAGACGTATCACACTAATGCTAATCAAGAGAAACCCAGACTGGCTATAATAATACCAAACAGAGTAGATTCAGAGCAAAGAGTATGGCTGGGGATGAGGATGATAATTTCATAATAATACAATGTTCAATCGTAAACAGGACATGAATTACACGAAATGTTTATGTACCTAATAAGAGCTTCAAAATACATGGAAAAAGAATGATGAAACTGGAAGGAGAAATGAGCAAATCCACAAAAATAGAGATTTCAACACTCCTTTCTCAATAATAGATAGAGCAAGTAGACAGAAATAAGTAAGGACACAGCCTACCTTACCAGCACTACCAACCAGCTTGACCTAATTGACAATTTATAGAATACTCCACCCACACAGCTGAATATACATTGTTTTCAAGAGCAGATGAAATATTTAACAAGATGGGCCCTATCACAGTCTATAAAACAAGTTTCAATAATCTTACAAAGGCTTGGTTTATACTATGTTCTCTGATCACATCAGAAAAGGCTCTGGAAAATCCATTATTACCTGGAAACTAAATAACCCTTTTCTGAAACTAGAAGAATTCTATAAGGAAGCATAGGACGAGAAGTCCTTGAGTTAGGGAAAAACGTCTTAGTTATAATACCAGAAAGTTCCAACCATAAAGGAACAAAAAGAATGAGTTTTACTTTATCCAAATTAAGACCTTCTCTTTGAAAAAAAAAAATGATATGAAGTGACAGAAAAGACAGGGATAAAAATACTTGCAAGTTACATTTCTTATAAAGGATTTGAATTCTGAACATACAGAACTCTGAAAACTCAATAATGAGAAGGCGAAGAATTCAATATAAAAATGGGCAAGATAATTTGAAAAGACACTTCAGCCAAGATGTGTGGATGGCATATACACACGTGAAGAGATGCTCAGGTTATTAAGTCATCAGGAAAATGCAAATTAAAACACAGTGAGATACCACCAAGTAGCTATTATAATGGAAAAGGCTGACCAGCCCTGGCCGGTGTGGCTCAGTTGGTTGGAGCATTGTCCTCCTTGGGTGAGGACTTAAAATTTTTAAAATTAATTTTGTAGAAAAGACTGAGCCCTGTCCAGCATGGCTTAGTGGTTAGAGGTTGGCCTACACACAGAGGGTGTCAGGTTTGATTCCTGGTCAAGAGCAGGTACTGGGGTCGCAAGTTCCATCCCTGGCCCCAGTTGGGGCACGTGCAGGAGGCAACCAGTCAATGTGTCTCTCTCACATGGATGTTTCTCTCTCTCTCCCTCCTCCCTGCCATTCTCTCTAAAACTCAGTGGAAAAAATACCCTTGGGTGAAGAACAACAACAAAAAAAGACCGAGCATCTCAAATGTTGGTGGAATGCAGAGAAGCTGGAATAAAAAAACAGTTTGGCAGTTTTTTTGGGAAATGAAACACATTTCTGTCATATGAACTAGCCATTCCACTCCATGGATTTACCCAGGAAGAATGAAAATACATGTCCGAGGACTTCTACACTAATGGAGAACAGTGTGGTGATTGCATAAATGGTGATGGAATAAAATGAAATAAAAGAAAACAATAAATAAAAAACAAAAAGAGAATGGCCAGATCTTTCTTGTCATGGCATGCAGAAGAAAGTGGGCAGTTTCCAAAGACAGGTTACTCAGTCC